TAAGAAATCAGTTACTTTTAAAACTTGAGAATTTCTAGCAAATGTTTGTAGATTGTCTTAGCTAACTTTGACCTTCAAGCCTGTAGTACCACTCAAAACTTGAACATTAAAAAATACTTTTAGCTGGAGTTCATTCATATATCCTTTAGTTTTTAAATAAGTAATAACTTTTTTCTTTCTTCCAGACTACTTTCTCAGGTGGGTTTTGTGGACACTAAGTGTAAAGGGAGCTTTAGCCACTGGTGAAGAAGTCCCAGTGCAGGGGAAGGTTTTGGCTCTGCTCCTGTCTAAACTGTATGACATTACCCGTGGGAGCCACCACCCCAGGTCACCTGCTCTCTGTGCTGCGGTCACCCGGGAGCTCAGCTTCTTTTGGGTTTATTCTGTCTCTTGGAGTGAACTGATAAACTGTTTCATTGGGTTTTCTTTCCCTATCAGTGGCAAATCCCCAAATCCCATTGTTGCAAGAGTACCGTAGTCACAAGTCATCGACACTGCCTCAATTTATGGCCATAAATCAATCTGTCCTTCTGACTGTTATTTTCTTATGTTTCCTGGGTTTGTCAAGTGAATGCAACCTAACTATCTTTCTATGTCTGAAGTTCTTTGGCTGGCGGATTCCCATGAGGTCTTTCTGAAGCCTTCAGATAATGCTCATGTCAGTGGCGTGTCTGTGCTCTGAAGCTAGGACAGAAAGGCACCTTGCTAGAGCTCTTCCTCCTCTGTAGAAGATGGGGTGCTTCCATCACAGTCCTGTGGTTCAGAGACAGAAGAAGTAATTTCCCAAGCTAATAGAGCTTGGTGGTGTCAGAGAACTCAGAGGATGAGGACCTGAGCTTGGGGCTCATTGCAGACCCCCTCCCCAGATACCGACTCCTTTCACCCATGTTTAGGACACAGCAAGTGCTGTGTCTACAGGGCCCAGTCAGGGAAGTTATCTGAGGAATTCCTTGGTGTGGGGATTAAAGTCCCAGCTTGAGTACCTTTGGCATGGGCTTTTCTTTTTCGATTTTTCTTTTTTTTCTCTGGCTGACCCTGAGCTGGATTCTTTCCCGTATGTCTTTGGTGCTTTATTTATTTATTTTAACCTTTTTTTGCAATACCTCTTCCTGTAAGAAAAGACTTTTATCATCCTAGCATAGTCTTTGTACAATGCAAGGTTCTTAAATCGAATCCATGGTCTCACTAAGTCTGTGTGGGTAAGAGAGTATGTCTTATGTAATTTGCCTCTGTAATTTAATGTCTTTGTTCTTATACATTTTTTGGTGTGTGTGTGTGTGTGTGTGTGTGTGTGTGTGTGTGTGTGTGTGTGTGTGTGATCTGTCTGTCTACAGAGCTGGGCCAGGGTATGTGGGTGATTGTGGAGGCCAGAAGTGGACATTGGGTATTTCTCAATCCAATCCCACCTTAGTTTTTGAGAGAGTCTCTCACCAAGCCTGAAGATAACTGATTTGGGTGTCCTGGTCAGTGAGCCCTAGAGGTCCTTCAGACTCTGTCACCCCACTGGCAGGCATAGAGGCATGTGCCAGCACACCTGTGTATAAGTATTAGTGTCCATGCTAGGGAATTGATCTCAAGTACTCGCCGGTCATTTCTCCAGCTCTATCTAGTGTATTCTGGGAAGAGGGCCGTAGGCTTCAACAGAACCAGATGGATCCATGGCACAGGGGCAGGATAAGAATTGACTGTCTAGAGTAGCTCCTGGAAGACTGACAAAAGGGGAGCTTTGTCTTGTTCTGTTGGGGCAGGGTCTCAGGTAGCCCAGGCCACTCTTGAACTTGCTGTGTGGCCAGTGCGGCCTTGAAATTGTGATTCTTCTGCCTTTGCCTCTCAAGTGCTGGTATTATATGTGTGCGTACATCACAACACCAGGTTTTAAACGGGAATATTTGTGTGTGTGCATGCATGCATGAATGCACAGAGAGAGAGAGGAGAGAGAGAGAGAGAGAGAGAGAGAGAGAGAGGAGGGAGAGAGGGAGACTAGGGGATAGTTGTGGGGTATCATTTCTCAGGAGCCATCTACTGTGTTTTTTTGAGGCAGGAACTCTCATTGGCCTGAAGTTCCAGGATTTTGCTAGGCTAGCTGGACAGTGAGCCCCAGAGATCTGACTGTCTCTGCCTGCCCCCGACCCAGTGCTGGTATTCCATGTGTATACCACCCTACCCAGATTTTTCCACATGGGTTCTGAGGCTTGAACTCACTTTACCATTTAAGTCATTTCTCCAGCCCCAAAAGGAGAATTCTTGATTGATGAGCTACTGTAATGGTAGGTGAAAGTTGGGAATGGAATGAAGAAGTTAAACTGGGAATGCTTAGGGATATTGTACCTTTATTGAAATTGTTCCTCCAATGAAGAGGCAAGGAAAAGCATTTTACCCACCTTAATAATGGATATGCAAGTATTGATTTCCATTTATCATTCCTTTCTCAGTGCCCTCCCAATTTCACCAGACTGCTTTCAGGGTTATGCTGCCTTACTGGCAGTGACATGCATAAGGGACACCCAGCTCTCATTATCCAATTTGAGGTCCATATATTCATTAACTTTCTGATTTATGACATGAAGTTTTTTAAGTTCTTATTAGCATATATTAAGTGTACCTAATGGATGTTATTATAACAATTTCATATGTATATGTATTTTGATTCTATTTGCCTCCACTATTACCCTCTCTTGTTTTTCTTCTACTCCTGATGATCCAACCCCTCTCCTCTTCCCAGCTAATCCTTAGCTTCTGTTGTCAATGTTTTGTGTGTGATGGGTAGGGATGTACATGCACGTGTTTAATTGGAGTCACTTAAAGGAGCATCAGTGAGAGTCTATTCACAGGAGCTCGAGAAACTTACCCATGGCTACACTATTCAAAAAAAAATCTCTCCTTTTCCAGCACGCATTAGCTGTCTCTAGATCTCTAGGCCTCATGAGTCCCTCACTCTAAGCAATCCTCAACTGCTTATAAACCCTTAGTGAGGGGCAGGGCCTCATGGGCCCCTTCCCAGTGTGGGACAGAGTAACAAGAAATTTAGATTCTCATTCTTTTCACTTGGGAGCTTCCACATCTGGCTACATGCATCTACTATGCACTGTACTCTAAGTTCCTAAGTTCACCAGGATCTTATATAAAGCAGTTTAGGTGGTAGAACTTCAAGACATCACTAGTTACCTTTATTAGTACCCAAGATGCACTGTGGCTAATTATTGTATCTTCCCTAACTATTTACAGTCCCAAATACTTTTTCTAATTGTCTTTACATAGGAGGAACTCAGAATTTGTATGGCTTAGAAATAAAAATTCTCACTGTTACCAGAAGCTATGCAGACATTACTTTGTGTTTCATTCCCATGTTGGACACGGGGAGGGGGTGGGGGACTGGGGGGGTAAGGACGGGTGGGAGGGTGGGGGTAACTTTGTTGTTGTGGAGACTTGCTTGACAAACTTCCGTATCTGTGTCCCGTGACTTCTTGCTTACCTTTTATACTACAATGGCCCACGCTGGTAGATGCACCTTCTGCTGCCCTTTCGGCCATAAGTCAGCATGATCTTTGTTTTTGCTTTAGCAGAAGAATAAATAAAATTTTCCTTCTCGGTTTATTGAGCGAATTCAGATGCTAGAGAACAAAGTCAAATTGTTGTTTCCAAGGTCAAATTTCTAACACTGAGTTGTTATGAAATTTGGTTAAGGGGCACCCATCACATCCCTGAATCTGTTTTAAAAGAGGAAAAGGAACAGCCATCCCTTAAGTTCTAACCTTTTTCTAAAATTGGGCGAGTCTATGGAATTGTATCATAGATCCAAACTAAGTAGATGTTTAAAATGCTAGTTGAAAATTAATTCAGAATCAGAAACAATGATTATATAAATTTTCTTATATGTGAAAATCACTTTGTGTACAAAGTTTGCCAAATAGTCTTTTCTAATCACAGAGTGGCCACTGAATAGCAGAATCAGGAACCTTTAGGGCAGTGGTTCTCATAGCAGAATCAGGAACCTTTAGGACAGTGGTTCTCAAACTGTGGGTCAAGACCCCTTTGTGGTGTTAAATGGCCTTTTCACGGGGTTGAATATCAGATATCCTGCATATCAGATACTTGCATGATTCATAACAGTAGCAAAATTACAGTTATGAAGTAGCAGCGAAATGATTTTATGGTTGGGAGTCACACAACATGAGGAACTATGTTAAAGGGCCGCAGCATTAGGAAGGTTGAGAACCACTGCTCTAGGGCTTGTTAGAATTTGAGAAGGTCAGGCCTTACCCATGACCTTTCAACTCAGAACCTACATTTTAACAAGATGCCCTGATAACATGCACCCCCCGGGAGAGTCTGAGAAGTGCTGCTTCCTTCCATGTGGAGTCTGGTAGAGACCCTGTAAGGGAGGCATGATGTTTTCCAAAGGAGGCCAGATTCCTTTACAACCCAGAATTATAAAGAACTAGGTCAAGGTCACTGTGATAGCATCATACTGAGGGTGCTCTGTCCTAAACCTAATGCTATCTTAATTAGAGCCTTACCTAACAGAGCTCACTGCCCAGCCCATGGGCTTAACTGCGACTGTATGATTTTGAGTAGCCAATAGAAAGGGAGCAGAGGTGGAAAAGTGTCTTACCATTTTTTCGGAGGGAGGCAGTATTAGTATGTGTATCTGTACCCAGATGCCTGTGTGCGCAAATGTCTTTGCAAGTCCTTCCATGCTATTTTCCATCCTAAGATCGCTGGGATGGAGAGGAATCTTAGAGATTATATTGCAAAGATGTAGGACTTGCAGCAGCCTGAGTAATTTGGTTTCTGCATCAAACCCATCCCTCTTGACTTTCCACCTGTCTAGGATGTATACGGGAACCTCTTGTGTAGACCATGAACCATTGTAGAGGTTGGGGTCTGTGTGTTAAGCATGAAGTTCATTTTTAACAGATTCATTTTAACAATGGCTTTGGAGATGAAGTTGTAGATCAATTGGCCCATTGTATTGATTCGTTTTTTTCCCCCTTTGGCAGATTGCTTGGCTGTAGTCCAGCATGCAGAAGTGAATGTGGAGTGAAAAGCAGCAGATCCGATGGGTTGCGAGGATGTAAGAGCGTTTGAAGGCTTCCACACACTCTCCTCCAGGGTAAGGCAAATGCATTCAGTATTTTGCTGGCTTTGCTGAATCATAGATGCTCTTGTCTCACCAGCTTCTTGGAGTCAGCGCAATGGGATGCTCTGTCTCTGAAAGTCTTCTAAAGCCTTCTTTATTGAAATCTTGGACTCAAGTCAACAATGATGAGAAATGGTTGGGCTGACTTCTGTGCATGGAGGTATCTCTACATAGGGTTGTTGAGTGCATTTGTATGGCATGTGATTTGTACAAGTAAGCTTGTTAAGGCTTCCCTTGTTCCTGAAGCTATGTCATATTGGTAATAGTCTGGTCAGATGCTCCTTCCCACCATCCCCCTCCTCCATGGGCTTCTCCTTCATGATTGCTCTGGTTGTGAAGGAAATAGCTGATCAGAGCTGAAGTCCCTGGTGTGGTGGCCCCTAGCAGTTGAAAGCACATATTCTGCCCACACCATAGTTTCCCATCTGGTATCTCTGGAAGCCACATACCCAGCCACTCAGCTGTTTGTAGTTGCTGGTACATTTTATGTTATTACTGGGAATTTTGTAATCAAACCTTATTTGGGGTTTTTGTTTGTGGCAAAAAAATCAAGACTTAGTAGGACATAATGTTTGGTGAGCCCTTCTAAATCTAGGAGGAGGTCCAGGGAGGAATACTTCTTATTTTCTAGGCTGTCCAAATTCTGCACTGAACAAAAAAGCAAACTTCTTGAAGAAGGAATCATGACTAATGCTATTCCAAGCAGAGTTAAGGATGGTTAGAGAGTAACCAGAGCGGTGGCGGGATTTTTTCTAAAGCTTTAACTTACAGGGAGTACTGTTTGCAGCCAGTGAGTTCAACATCATAAGGCCTTGCTAAACTGAGTGCACCCAGAAAGGCTGCCTGTAAATCTGTGCCTCATGTGGCTCACTAATGAGTACAATTTATTGAACAATATAGACAATTGAGGGCCGCAGATCCCTGGAGATTCCTGTAAGTGTGCATTGTTGCTGCTCTTGAGTGATGCACATGCTCAGGAATGAGGCAGGGAAATGCAGCTGGGAGGCGGGTCATCTCCAGAAGAGCCCAGGTGACCAGCTGCCACAGACCTCAGCCCAGAGCCTGGACGTTGCTCATGAGAGGAGTGTTCTTGTTCAACATGGAGCTACTCCCCCTTTTATCGTGTTACCTCTATTTTAAATGTACCTGAGAAGTATTTTACACTAAAAATAGCAATTGACCAGCATGTTTCTGTGTAAATATTGTACAAGGGTCAAGTTGTGAAGGCAACCATTCTTTAACCACCGATAAGGGCCAAAGAAAGTGGTGTGTGAGTTACCAGGGCACCAGGCAGTACTGATTTCAGTGGGGGCAGTTCTTGTGTGGGCTGTTGCTATGCATTGTAGGATGGTGTATTATAGTGTGCCCTTGCCCTTAGCCTCTCCCCACCAAATGCCAGTAGCTCCCCACGCAATCATGACCACCAGATAGGTCTCTTGGTATTGTTAAATGTTTCCAGATAGAATTGCCACAGATGAAAGGATGCAGTGATTTAATCTTGTTCTGGGTTCCTCTAGAGTTGTGTTTTAATTTACCTAATTCCTTTTTCCTCCCTGCTCCCCCCCCCCATAAAATAGGTATACCATGGTAACTCTGCCTGAGGAAGCAAAGTACGTGGTACCATGTGGTTGTTAAGGGCTTCAGTAAATACTAAGTGATAACTGTTTCCCAGATACTTAGGTTCCAAAATCCTTCCTGATCATCATGATGTCAATAAAAGGGGGAGCAATGGGAGCTAAAGAATGGTGAAGTTAGTATTGTGCACAGTAATGCGCAGGCCTAGATTCTGACATCACTGGAAGGAGTGTTCTGTCTCACTGCAGCAATGTATTCTGGGTGAAAGCTTTTCCTTTCAAAGCTAAGGACCAACAGAGGGCAGGAGGCAAAAAGATGGCCATTCCAAAGAGTCTTGATGGAAATTGCATCCGACTGGTGATTTCTTAATGTTAAAATGACTCACATGTAATTAGACCAAAGGACATGGAAAGGTAATCACCCAAACTAAAATTCCCTCCTGCATGACTGACAATCCAGACAGAGACTACTTAAAGAAGCTCACCATTATTCTAGAATTTTTACATTTCTTTCCTTTTTTTTCTTTGAGAATATGGAATATGAAAACAGGCTTCTTCAATGACAAATAACATGTTTTCATAAAACACATGTTCTTTGGTATTTTCCAGTGCTGTGTCTTGGAACAGGAAAAGAAGGCCATGATTCTGAACTAATTTGACAAAGCTATATTATTTTAGCGAACAGCTTCAGTCCAACTACAGGACATGGCCACTACAGGGATTAGATATAAACTGCAGGCTTTTCTTTTTTGAGTTCTCTTTGCTACGTTTCTGGTTCATGAACTATTTGCCCCTGTTCTCTGCCTTGGATCTAGTATATGGGAGGCCATTGTAGACAGTCTGGTTTCTTTGGCTTCTGGGGTGTGTGCCTGCACATGTGTAAGGATGCCTGGGAAGGCGTCTGCGTATCTTGAAGAATGAGGCTCTTCCATGAAAAGAGAGGTGATAAGTAGAATGTTTGTCTTGATAGGAGTAGGCTATTCCTACTACATTTTTCCAGTGCTACTCAAAATTCCATGTCCAGGCCAGTCATCAGGATTGCTTGGTTTCTTGTTACTTTAGGATACAAATTCTCAGAGAGGACCTTGTGAACTAGTTTAACAAGGCCCCAAGGTGACATCTGGAAAATCATTGTTCTTTTGCATGGTTTATAATATGTCATGGCATCTCACATGGTCTCTTTGTGTCCGTGGTGGGGAAGGCATAGAGAAGTATTTTTCTAAGCTCTTAGAATAGACATAGGATTTTCTTATGCTAACATCCTATGTCATTTTCCCAAAATGGTCTAAACTTTGTCCCAGTAGGAGCCACTAGCCATGTGTGACTATTTATATTATTTAGATTTATAATTCAGGTCTTCATTTGATCTTATCACATTTCAAGTGCCGTATAGCTTCACATTTCTGGCTGCTGTCTTAGATAACATAGATATATAACATGTCAATCATTGGAGAACATTCCACTAGACACTACTGCTTTAGATCCTAAGGCTCCCAGTGCGTTAGAAAGTAGCCACATTTGTAGTGACCATGTACTCTTGCTATAAAAAGATATCAAAGCAATACAGATAAACTCTGTCTCGAAAAACCAAATAAATAATAAATAATAAATAAATAGATAAGATACCAATCCATGTAGGACAGAATTCTTTTAGACCATATCTATTCCAGTAAGACATTTGTATGTCTTACTGAATTTCTTAATGATGCTGCAATATTTGCTGGCTACAGGCAGTGCCGTGGGTCTCTCCCTTTAACACGATAGAACGTACCGTCTCTAAAATGTTTGCCCTTTAGTCGAGGGCTGTGGAATTGTCCATTTTTTCTCTTTGCCTGACCCTCAGCAGTGAGGCTTATTTGTGTAGCATGCCTTTTTGAGATTGCCTAGAGCTCTACAAAGAGTCTAGAAGAAGCTAGGAGAGAATTTCACCTCTCCTTCCAAGCCCTGACTTGGTTCAGAAAAGTGTTTCATAGGAGGGTCTTAATTCACAAGCCTAACCTCTGAGGAGTTACCCCATGAAGAATGAATGTCTAATTTTCCACCCATCATTACAGCACAGATTTAGTGATTAAGCCCTTTAGTAACATGGAAGGCTTTCCTGTTGATATTATCTATTAATATTACCAATATTAGTTGCTCAGAAATTTTCATTTGAGCAAATGAAAACATAGGGAAATGAAGACATCTTTAAGAGATGTAATTTAAAGTCTACTGAGCCCAAGGTTGTGCCGCCTGACAGAGGAAATTCAAATGAGAAGTTTGTGTGCCTTTAGGAGGATGGCTGGAGGGAAGGAAGGGAGGCTGGGGTGGAATTGGTCCTCTGGATGATCCACTTGGAGATGGAAGAGGGGCGGGTGGGAGGATGATACAATGCTTGCTTTTTTTTCCTTCTTTGTGTTTTCGATTTTTCAAGACAGGGTTTCTCTGTGTAGCTCTGGCTGTTCTGGAACTTGCTTTGTAGACCAGGCTGGCCTGGAACTCACAGAGATTTGTGGAGTTCTTTTTGTTTTTGTTTTTGTTTTATATTTTGAAGACTTTTTTGAGTGGTATTAGATAGAAGCAGAATGTAGAAAGGAAAACATAAAGATCTTCTATGTCCCTCCCCCTCCTACATATGCTTGTCTGTCCCTGTTGGCTGCTGTCCCCCACCAGACTGGCATTTCTGTAGGGATCTATGAACCTATATTTATGTCATTATTACCCCCAAGACAGTGGTTCATTAGAGTGCAATCTGGGAAGCTGTATATTCCTTGGATTTGGACTAATGCATGATGACACATGTTCACTATTATAATCACAGGCATTATTTTTGTTTCTCTAAAACCACTCTGGTATCCTATTTAGCCATAGCTCCTTCCCCTCCCCCACCCCTTAACCATTAGAATCCATTAATCTTCTTAATCTTCTTATGACCACAGTTTTGTTTTTCATGCAGTTGGAGTCACACAGTAGGCAACCCTTTGAAATGACTTTTCACTCAGTAAATACAAGTTTCTTATCCCCTCTTTGTGACTTAGTTACTCATTTCTTTTGTGTGCTGGATTCCAGAACTCCTGGATATCTGAGTTGCTCTCAAGGTTGGACCATTTTAAAAAAAGGTGCTCTAAACATCCATGAGCAGGCTTTTGGGTGGACAGGAGTCCCTCTCCTTTGGGTAACTATCAAGTGATGTCACTCCTGGGTACTTTTTGTAGCAATGTTTTCTTTCGTAAGAAACTGACAAACTGTCTTCTAAGATGGCTGTGCCATTTACATTTCCTGCCAGCAAGGAATGAGGGTTTCAGTGTGTACATCTAGACCAGTCCTGGGTATTGTCAGGGCTCTGGATTTGAACCATCTGAAAACAGGCCTGATAATGTCTCATTGTACTAATGTATGTTTCCTTGATGTGTGCGTAAC